CCAACTAAAAAATTTTCGAATATAACTCATTTCTCTTTATTTTTTTTTTTGAACATATTTGCAAAGAGCAGGATTCGAACTCAACCCGGGGAGAAGGGAATGCACCGGGTGGCTATTGCCATTAGGCCGCAAGGGCCATGTGCCATTTCTCTTTATTTTATCATAAAGAAGTAATAAGTAGATATAAAAACAGATTTATTATTGTTTAACATTAAATTTAATTTTGAGATAAGTATTATAAAGAAATAGTATCAGACGTCTTATCTCATAATATAAGAAACTCCACCCACTGAACTTAATGTATCAGCCGTACAATAAACTGTGATTTGAGTTAGGTTAAAAAACCCTCCAAAAATTTTGTATCAAAGCCAAGTAAAGTTAATGTTACTAATAAAAGAATTAAAGGAGTTAATGAGATTCTGCCGCAATCAAATAAAATTCGTTAAAACCCATTCCAGTCTCTCTACTTTAACAAGAAACTCTTTTCAATCAGTCTACTTAAGAAAATTTCCTTTTAGTCTCTAAAACCCATATGGCATTTTAAATAACAAAATTTTCAAAGTAGATGAATTAAAGGAATTTTTTGGATGGTTTAAAATTTGAAAATTCTATTATCTAACATATTACATATGTAAAAAGATAATAAAATGACTAAAAATAATCTAGATGATAAATTTTAAGAATAAAAAATAAGTTTTTTTTGTAGAAAGACTAAAAATGAGTCTTTTTATTAAAATAAAAGAACCAAAATAAGGTTTAAACCAAATAAAATTTATCTATGAGATAATAAGAATTGAGGGAGTAATAGCATATGAAAACTGACAAGCTACTTTGAGAAAAACATATTTATATAGTACAAAGATTAGCAATTAAAAATGTTGGTATTTTAAGTTAGAATATGTAAACAGTGAAGGAGAAGAGCTACTGCCTAACCAAAATAAGTTTAAGGACCAAAATGTCAAGTCAACACAAGATAAAAGTGAGAAATAACGACTAAATGGCTGATTTGCAAGTGAACTCCAAGTTTAAGGGTCGATTTGCCCTACCTTTAAGTACAAGGGCTGATCCGCCACAACTCCTTAACTAGGAGAGCTTATTTGCAACACATGCCATATTTGTGAAGTCCGTTAAAGAAAGACTGAAACAGTGCATAGGCAGGAAAATGGACAGAAACATACCCACCATGCAAATTGGACTCAAAATGGGCTGTTGATTTGGGAAGAGGGCTTGGAACTGGGTAACTCACGCTGTGAGCCAGCCCATAGGTAAATTGGGCTCCTAAACTAATTAAATTGAATAGTTTGGTTGGGAGAGCAACTTAAGCCTTAGAGGTTATGGGATCCTAATTTTGAATCTTGAGAGTAGTAGGAGAGATTTTGAAATAAAAGAAAATCATATCTGTTATATATATCTATATATATATATATATAACTATCTAATGCATGTTGTATACGGGTGCAATGAGTTGCAATACCCTTTATACTTGCTTAATAAAGTTATCTTCTTTGTTGATAAAAGGGAAAAAAAAAATCAAATCGTATACATTTAAAAGGGAGAGTTAAAAAAAAAGGACGAAATTAAAAAAATAAAAAACGGAGGAAAAGGAGGATGAGAGGAATATATGAAATGGTAGCCAAAAATGGCACGTATTAAGTGAATGGTGAAAAGGGTAGAAGGAGTGGAGAGAAGAAAGAATCAATCGGTTAGAATTTTGTTATATATATACAAGATTTGGTGTG